CCAGCCCACAGCTGCAGCCCACCCTCCCCCATGTCCACCAGCCCCTGCCTCCCATGTCCTCATTGGGGAGGGAAGGGGGAAAAGGGAAGGCTGCATTGGGCTGTTCCTGCTGGGCCTGGCTCACACTATGCTCGGTGGTGGCACTGGGAGGAGGGGTTGGGGGGCTACAGCCCCCCTGTGGCCCCACTCCCAGTGCTGCAGCCACCTGGCCTGAGCACAGCCTCTCTGGGAAGAGCTCGGTGCTGCCCCAGCTCCAGCCTACCCTGCCACACCCCACATGTAGAGCCAGGGGAACGCACACCCACGTGTCCTCCCAGGCTGCATGCCCCCCCCACACCCCCCAGATGAGTCGCTCACAGCTCCATCCCCCACCCTGCCCCAGCTGTGCAGGGCCTGCCCCTGCCTCAGCCCCACTCCCTACCTCAGAGCTGCTGCAGCTGCCAGTGTTGCCCCATGTTTGGGGGAGGCATGCGGCCCCTCGATCTCTGTGCGGTGGAGGCAGCTGCTGCTGTGGACTGGGCTTTGCACCCTGAGCCCTGCTGCATGTGCCAATGCCCCTTCCCTCCCCCACTGACTGACCTGCTGAGCTGGAGCGTGGGAGTGGGCACATGCATGCACATGCACGCTCAACCCCTGCAGCCCAGTATTGACTTCAAGAGGCTCTGGGATCTACCAGTCTATCAAGTGACCACTGCTATAGAGTGACTCAGATGCCAAGTTTTAGTTGTTTTCTGGAGCATACAAACAGAAGCGGCCGGGTGCAATTTTAAAATCTCACATCGTGTTGTTCGTCTAGACGTGTTAGAAAATTCTGGGGTTTGTTAAGTAAAATTGTCATTCTGCCTTTGATTCCTAGAGGAAACAGCAACTGTGATGCATCTGCTGTACAACCAGCAAAAAACAGTCTCGTCATTCTGGTTACATACTAGACAGGAAAATCCTGATGCTGAGGAGGGGGAATTGTGTTTAGTCTGAAGTGGCTGCTGGACTCAGCAGGATGAAAGCACAGCTTATTCTGGTCTGCCTGAGGTTGAGCAATACATTTTTACTTGCTGTACTGTAGACAGTCATGAAGCACTACATGTTTGTCATTGTTTTGTATTGCACATACAATGCTGAAGGCACATCAGTCACCAGTTTCACAACCCAGAAGAATAATGGACTTCACAGTTTATTGAAGTTCTAGTGTGAAATACTGGAAATACTTTGTAAAGGGGCTTTCTTCTGTGATGCAAGTGACAGTTTTAGACAGTTGGGAGGCATTTACATTGTACCTGTATTAAATAAACAGTAGTTTGTTTTCATTCAAGGGGAGGCCTGGCATCTGGCTGAATTTCAAAAGTAATTAAGGAAAAGCAAATGTCCTTGAGGAGGTGCAGGTGTCCTTTTATAAGCTGCGGGCTGGAACACCCCAGATGGTCCAACATGGACCGGGTGGCTTCTCTGGTGCGTCTGGGAGACAGAGGTGGCTTTCTCCATACCCATGCTGGAGTCAGCTGCTTCTCCCAGCACCCTGCTCCTTGGCTGCTGTATGAGCGCGGCTTCAGCTGCTGGGGAGTTGTGGCAGGGCCAGATATCTGCAAACTGCATCTGCACTGCTACCTACCACTCTCCCTCCCTCCCCAGTAGCTGCAGTTTAGGCACACCTGGAAGCTGCCCAGCTCAGCGTTGCTCCCCACCAGCTGAAAGCTATGCTCACGCTGGAGAAGCAGTGGTGGTGCAGCCAGCTCCTAGCTGCCTGGCCTTGGCATGGGCACAAGCCAAGCCCCCTCTCTCTCATGTGCCACCAAAACCACCTGGCCAGTATCAGATTGGAGCTGGGAGGGTGGGGCAAAGCAGCAGGGGCATGGGCACAGCTGGAAGCTGCCTAGCCCTAGCCCAGGTGAAGGTACATTTCCACAAGCCAGATCTGGCCCATGGGCTGTATGTTGCCAAACCCTGTACATGTACAGTCATGTAAATGTAAAGTCTCAGTGTACATGTAAACCCTGTGCATGTAAAGTCTTAACTGAATTGAACTAGATGGGGACTAGTCTTATCTTTGTTCTTGCACTACAGAATAAACAGACTGGTTGTGATTTATAACTTACTAAAATGTCATGGGTGGAAGAAATCTAGGAATGACTTCATGCTGCAGGTAGATGGAAATCTGTTTTCTCTGGATCCATTGTTAGACAGTGATCCACTGTTAAGACAGTGCACTGTGTGCATCGTGCCTTTCCCAAGATGCTGTGTCATATAGTTTCTGGTGCTGAAATAATTAGGTAGCATGAGTGACCTGTGCAGTTAAGAAATGTGTTACTATAATGGAGCAAGAGTATCTGCACTTTCTTACTGCCATTCCAAGCACAAAAAAAAAATCAAGCAGTTTGAAAATGCAGTGTTTCATAGGCGTGAGCCCTGACTGGTACCTGCAGCCACCTTAGCCTCAATCAAGGAGTGCTGAGGTGTGAAACACCCTAAGGGCACCATACACAAAGGGACGTGGCATTGTAATGCTTAGCTTTTCAGTGACTTGCCACCTAGTAGAATTTCAACCCAAAATTAGGCATATAGGCTTCTTGTACCCTGCATGGGAAGAATGGGAGCCTTGGAGCAAGCAAGTGACGAGTTGCTTAAGCCAAAGAGAAGGGCAGGATTCTTAGGTATGAGCCCACTCCTGGCACCTAACCCTCCCCACAGCATTTTCTCACAGAAAACCAAAGCACCAACTCCCCCTCCTCATCCCATTGCACACCATAGCCCACTGGTTCAGTGGCAACACATAGGGGGTGCAGGTGCACCCTGACCAGCCACACTTGCCACTTAGGCAAGAGGCAGGCGGAAGCACCGTTGCCCGCCCCTTGCAAGCGCTGGCTGGGAGCGGGAGCATGTGCGTCTCCCCCCCCAAGTAAGGCAGCACCAGTTGCCCATACACTGGTTTCACACTGTAATCAAATCATCACTGATTTAGAGCACAGAGAAAACCAGGTCTCCTATATCCCGCTGTGCTAATTACCAGGCTTCATGGGTTTTCTGCAGTGTCTCCATCTCTCCTTTAAGCTGTTTCACTTTATCTAAATAATTAAATGGTCATTGGAGCAGGGACCTGACCCAGACCCACCTGCAACCACACTGGACAGTAGATTCAGTGTCTTGTTCCTCCTGGTTCTGGCCCAGTCAGAGCAGCAGGCCAGACCCCACACAGGAGAGAGGAGGGAGGATACCTACCCTGAGAAACTTGCTCGGGCATAGGCATGAGCTTGGGTTCTGAGCCTTTTGGGGCTATGCAGGCTTCTGTGGTTGTGCCCATCCCCCAGCAGAAATGTATGTGCCCAGGGCCCGAATCTGCCCACAGGGTTGGGCTGCAGTTGAGCAGCTGTTGAGGAACTGAGTGGTGCCAAACATTTGGACTTTAGCTCCAAAGTGAAGGCAGTAGGTCAAATCCTAACAGCCCCCCCCTACCCTGTTATAAAAAACACCATAATTAATGTCCTACACCATCATCTCCTGGAAAGCTGGGTCCAAGAGACTTGCCTTTCACCCCAGCTGTTAGATACTGGATGTAGCCAGACCACTGGGACTTCTGGGGAACAGTTAGAGAAAAGCAGCACAAGTGTTTAAGCACTAGACAAGCTGTTTTTGGAAGAAACCATTAAATAAACTAAATGTGGCTTGGCTAAATGAGGATTCAAGCAGGGGCCACAACAATCACTGACGAGCATTTGAAGGTATAAATATACACACTGGGTACGGACACTTGAGATCCACCCAGAAAATATGTACCTAAGAGCAATGTGTTGCATGGATACAAACACTGCCTGGATTGAAGGAACAACTTTGACAGCTCCTAGTCGGAAATGGCTGTCTCAGGAGAAGTGGTGGAAGGACCAGAAACTTGGAGCATAGCAGTGCGCCCTAGGGGTTGCCTCATAAGGTGGGGAGAACCTACCTGTACTACCAGGCTTCTCCTATCTATTTCCTGTTATTTGGAGGGTGGCAGGTGTAAGGGAACTGTGAACAAATCACTCCTGCATGCAAGTCCAGGCCTGCAACTTGCTCACTGATCATTTGTTATTGTACCTTTTTTTTTTTTTAGGCCTCTTCCTTATTTTAGGCTTGATGCTGTACCCTGCAGGGTGGGGCTGCCAGAAGGCAGTAAGCTATTGTGGACACTATGCTTCTGCTTACAAACTTGGAGACTGCTCACTGGGCTGGGCCTTCTACACTGCTATTGGTGGCACTATTCTGACATTCGTCTGCGCAGTCTTCTCAGCACAAGCTGAAATCGCCACATCCAGCGACAAAGTGCAAGAAGAAATCGAGGAAGGGAAAAACCTGATTTGCCTCCTTTAACATTGGAAGAAAGCTGCCTGGGAAATACTGACTTCAGTCCAGTTTCACTTTCAGACAACTAGATAAAGGATCTGCTGACTTGTATTCACTATTTGTGATTGAGCCCCAGGCATTCTAGCCTTGAACTAACTGAAACAGTATGTCTTCATTTGCTGGGCAATGAGGAGCAGAAGATGAGGATCCCAAGCAAAGAGAATGTAGATCCCTAGAAATTTTGGAGCTTGAATACTCTACCAGGACTCAGCAACATATGCGTAATTCTAAGGGGAGGGAGAACCTTGTATCTCATGAATAAACCTCGTTATAGAGCCGACAAATTCTGAGGCGATTGGATTGTGTTATTCCCTTGACCACTTTGAAGGATTGTGATGACAGTAATAGCCACCACATTTCTCCTATGTCCAGGACAAGCCTATTTAATCAGGGTTTGCTTTGAAGGGCTTCAGTTACCTGTGAACATTTAATTGCTACCTGGTTCAGTACCGTAGCTCGTATAGTGGTGCTTTTTGAGGAGTTTATAATTTACTTAAAGCACAGCAACTTTCTTGGATAACGTAATGTTTGATGAAGAGAAAAGAGTTGACATTAACTCCTCCTAAAAGGTCGGTATAAAGAAATAGAGGTAAAGGCTCAACTTTACAGCTATGTTTGTTCTGGCATGAAACTGCAGTACCAAGTGGCAGGCATATTACATTTCAGCAGCTAGATATGAAGTTAGTTTGGTTTCCTAACACAAGCAGGGGACCGGTTAGACTGGGGTTTAACTGTACATTATAAACATTGGTAGAATAATCCTTTACCACTAGGGTATGAAACACTTAATCTTTTTATATGGGATTTTACTGGGAATCCCAGGAACCTCAATATTCAGGGAAAACACTATTCTTTCTGCAACCCAGTTGTCACTATTACCATATGAATGCCAGCAAGAGCTGACAGTGACTCCCCTCTAGTATAAGTATGGCTCAGTATTTCCCTCTTATTTGCCTGTGGAAACCTCATTCCCAGTCCACAGACCACTGTGTAGAAGCCCAGAGCCAGGTTACCCTTTAATAAATAGTACACCTATCAGGAAACCATGCCAAAGTCCGAATGGTTAGGGGAAGATCTTTTTCCCTTTCTTTTTAACCACATTTGCTCTGGATCCATTTCTAGCACAATCAGCAGTAATAGAAATAAAGCCTGCCACGAATGACATTCCTTTCCCGGAGCCATTCTCTGTTGTTACTTGCCGTGTTTCTCCAGGTTCTGTGATTACTCAAGAGCAAACAAAAAAGGTATTAAAAAGAAAAGTTAGAAACATGAGCACAATAACTTGTTTATTTAATAATGCTTGAAAAATCCAGCATGATAATGGAGTTATTTTTAAACAGTTAGGCTGATAGAGGAGGAGAAATACAGGCAGGCATTGAAGGTTGAAACATCCTGTTAAAATGCTACCCAGACCCATCAAATGCAGCCATTTGAATTCTACCATTTTTCTATAGTGTTACAATCAAACAAGTTCTGTAGAAAGTGGGTGTGAATCACTCCTCTGGGTAATACAAGTGATTCACCATGGATGGAAACACTAGGATAGAAATGCAGTGAGGCTTCATTTCCTGATTCTGCTGAATTTACACTTGCTGACCTGGAGTTGAGGAAAACGCAGACAATAGGTTTAAACAAATTACAAACTAGCTTCAAGGCTTCTTGGAGCTCATGCTGTTCCCCACAGTTAGCTCCGTTAGCAGTTTTTTTTAGGTGCTTCCCACCCACCACACCCTCTTCGTAGTCACTGTTAAGTAAAACAGTTCTGGAAAGGCACTGTTTAATGTGAGAGATTCTGGTGAGGGTTCAGGGTTCTAACCTTTATTGGTTAGAAATGAGACTGTCCTTATCTTACAATTATTTATCATTTTTTCAAACCCTGATTTAAAACTGGTTAAATCTATTTGTTCACTTCTTAAAGTGGAATACTTTTATTCTGAGATCCCCAAACTAGTCCTTTGACCTGTTTGATTGCTTGCTTGCTTGCTTGCTCGATTCTGGCTCTCTGTATAACAGCTAAAGTACTCTAAAATGAAAGTTGCCATTCAAAGACCCAGTTTCTAACTACCTTCCACCCAAGGCTGCCTCTTCTGCAGTCAGTACTACAGTGGATGGGCTGGAGTAACAGCCAGAGCCTACGTAGTGCCAAGTGTTAGAGTTACTGTCTCATAACTACACAGCCTATGGCTCATCACCATTCTCCATGACTGCCTGGGCAGCAGACAGTGCTCTTGTGTTGCGGAGGGTAGATCAAGCCCATTCCTCCCCAGCCACAAGCACATTCTCTCCCATCTTGAGAGGAGGGCTGAAATGGTGTGGAGGGTATGATCACAGCCCTGTGCCACAGGAATCTGCACTGTGACGCTTTCCTGATATTAAACCCAGAGCTCTCCGTTGAGAAGCCTGGTCTCCCCACCCCATCTAATTGCTCTCTTGTACAGATTTGAAAATGGGTATTTCACTTTTCTTTTGGTTGTTTAATACAATAAAGCTGTGGGCCAAGGCTATTTTATGCAAACTCTCCACATAAGACAAAAATCCCTTGTCCCCTTTGCAAAGGGTGGTGGGAGGGCAAAATTGCTGCAGGTTCCTCTGCCTGGTGTGGCTGAGCAGGGCTCCTTTTTAGAAATAGATTTTCATATGCTGAGAGCACACATCCAGTCAGATGCTCCCAGGGGATGACTGACCTTTCTCTGTAAAGAACCACCCTCCTCCACAAAGCAGGTGGCAGGGGGTCTGTATGTCCTCCAGCTGGTGGTCCTTAACAGCCCCCTACCAGAAAGGGTGCTGCACAGGTTGGAGCTGCCGCCACCATAAAGACATGGGGCACGAGGGTCCAGTAAGCACTGTGGAAATGGCACTAGGACGAAGGCAGATTTTATATTCTGATTTTACTTTTTTTTTTGTTTTTTTTTTTTTTTTTTTTTTTTTACATACTATGTGACACTAATATAAAGTCAAACCACTAAGTTCAGAAGGTGCATCATGCAATGCCTCAGTACATTGCTTTGGACTGCACAGTATGACCTGTATGAATAAAACAAAACAAAATACAACTGAGTAACCAACCCTATAATGTATTATTAGAACATACTGCATTACATTGGCTATAAAGTTCTAAAAATGTTAGTGTTGGATTTCAGACTACAGTACACACAATAGCTCTTTTAGTTGAATGTTTTGCTTTTGTTTTCTGATCTTGTGACCAAAGAGGGGCAGCTTCTATGACTGTTTTGGTATAACATAACATCAAACTGACCTACCATAACATAATCAGTTATGTTCATCCACCCATGCTCAGTGACTGGCACAGAGGGGAAGACACGCTGGGAAGAAATGCAGAAACAAATCAGACTCTTAGGTTTTCTCAGGGTTCTGTTTTTCTAGCAAGTGATAAGATGGTTTCATGCCACAGAACTTTTTTTTTTCATTTTTCAGATATGTAAACACACTGCTTTTTATGGCTGTTTAAAATTTCTGTTGAATTTCACCTTCTCCTAAACAATGACCTTCAAAAACACATATTTTCCATCAGTTTTAGGCAAGTTTAACTTCATTATGGGACCTGAAGTGTATCCGCCTCTTAATGCACTGCAGCTCTCAAAATGTTTGCTGTGGATTTGTTAAAACCTGTGTGCCAACAAGCTCATGATTGTAACACTCTATTTTGTGTAGAAAGTTTTTTTAAACAGCTGTGGTTTCATCACTTCATAACTATATTATTCTGTAAAGTGCCATAGTCCTTTTTGGAACTGTAGCATATTTTTTAAAAAACAAAACAAAACACACACACACACCACCACCCCCCCCTTTGTGTAAGATGTGCAATAACCGAAGTGTTGGGGGAGGGGAGTTTTTTGTTGTTTTTTTAAATTGGGATATGCTTTGAAAAGGGACTTCTCAAGTGGTTAGACTTTTGCTTTTGAGGACAGTTTAACTTTCAATGTAATACTTCAAAGTCATTGTTAGAGGAAATAAGATCACATGGACTGTAGTTTAATAGGTCCAACTCAAATCTCTTCCACATTTATTTGAAATACTTAGCTCTTCATATACATTTATGGCCTTAATATCAACTGTGAAGCCGCACACCTCTGTGGTAGTTTAACACCTAGATGTTGAAATGCTCAGCAGGACCTGACAGTGTTCCTTAATGGGCTTTATAAGCTAGTAGGCATTTCAAAAACACTGCTACTCAATTTGTCTTCTGTGTGCTTCTGTTAACAAAAGATCAACCATCTCCAGGTCCTGGAATTCAGATTAAATACTAATGCTGAATCAAAATGAATGTTAAATCAGAATATCCCACTTCTCAGTTTTAAAGGCAGAGCTCACATTTCCTCAGGCATCCATGAGGAGGGAAGCCTGCTACATTACAGCTATCACTGCCTCTGTTACAAAGACAAAGCCACACAAGACACTCAGCAGTGGCGCCACTTAAACAAAATACAAAGAACGTAGTCTGTAGCAATCCAGCTAGACAAAAAGTTTGAGCCATAGCTTATTTGTAGTACTGCTGGTGTGCTCAAAAGCAAGTGGTGTGCAGCATTTTTCAGTATTGGTGAGGTACTCAGTAACATTTTTATCTGAATTAAACTGGAGTTTGCAGACTAATTCTTACTAACATAAATCTGACTTTAGCTTGAATATACTTGGATATTTCAAGACTGATCAAGGAGTTTACATTTATACTTAGAAAATTTATATTAGGATATTGTGTTAGTATTGTAGATTTCACAATGGTTTTGGCATTGTATTGCCTGGCTGCCACTTAGGTTTTGATCACTAAGTGTGTGATCTTAAAATTGTAACTGTTTTCATACAAGAAAGTTGCATTAAAATAGCTTTATAATTAAATGTAGTTCGGACGTAAATGTTTTATTTAATACACGTGCAAGGTAAACACAGCATGACTCTGGGAGTGGGGAGGCTGAATAAGAAAATGTTTTAAGATGCACATCATCGAACAATTGAGTTTACAAAGATTTAAAACAATGTATTACCATAAACAGATACTTGGATCAGCCTCCCACAGCCTCCATCATCCACCCTAACAAATAACCCAGGAAAGGGTCACCTCATAGCCTCACCCATTGAACTCTCTCCTGCTTCCAACTGCTGCACTGCCACACAGCTGGGCCTGCCTTCAGCCCTGCCCCTCCATTCCCCGTCTCCAATTGCCTTACAAATCAACTGCCCCCCAATAAATAGTCTGACACATTCTACCCCCACTGTCTTCTTTTTGAAAGATCAAAATCATGGTAGTACAGCCAGCATTTCTCC